ATTTCAACAATAGCTTTTGATCTTGGCATATTAGAGTGCGACTGGCTAAACACATGAAAGCACTTGGGCTTTTTTTGAAAAAAATAAACCCCCATGTATTATTTAGTAACTGTCACTATGGGCCTGGCTGCAGATTGCCACAGAAACTTTTCCTGTTTTTTTAAAGGAACAGACAAACGGCAGACAATCCTCCACCCTTTCATGACGTGCAGATTAGAAGGACAGTTTCCTCTTCTGTCTTTCTCTAGAAGAACTCCCATTTAAAGTCAATCTGATTCCAGATTCAATTATCTTGAACTAATTTTGGAACAGACAGAACTGTAAACAGATGTAGTCTAGTTTTTAGCTTCAGGATCCAGCTTTCAAAGAATATGAGCAGCCACAGCCGTTAACTTCAATGGACACCGGAACACTGTGTCCCAGTTAGGCTTGGCCATCCAGGTTGCTGCCCATGGTGTATGCTAATTTGTTCACTCCGTTTACAATTTCGAAGTTTAAAAATAAAATCTACATTTTTTCAAAGCTAATAATTAAAAGAAACATCTGACTCATGCACTGACAAATTCCAACAGCTGCTCCTTCTATACACAAACTTGATTCACTAGGTCTGTGATATTTTATTTTTTTTAAACAACAAGGCATACAGTGGCAAGAGCTTAAATAGTTGAGTGGCTGTTTGTGACTGACACATACAGTTTTGAGCAAACTGGAGCCAACAGATTTCTAACTTGCTATTGCCAACTGCCATCAACCAAAGCAATGGGAAAGGTCCACTGACCATTAAAAAGTTAAAGTATTCCCCTGCTTCAAGTGTAATGGTCATTTTTATGAATTTTTATTTTCAAGGAGAGAGACATCGGGCTGTTTTTATTTTCCACCTGTTCCCTGTCACCCATTTACCTTTCAAGACTCATCTTACACAGAAAGGAGGAGAAAAATAGGAAAATAATCCAAGCCTACCAGCCCTATTCAAGTCAACGAGAGTCTGGCTCCTTGTGTCATCGTGGAGACTCTTTCCACTGTCTTGCTCCAACTGAATTTGTTTAATCCTCACAGTTTTGGTCACCATCTGGCTCATTTTGTTGTCTATGCAGAGACTGTATGACAGACTTCCATTCACTGCAATAGGAACTCGTTGCTGAGTGATTTGATAGCCAGCCTGTCAACAAAATTAGATTTATACTCAAATAAAACATTCACTTTTCAGAAAGCAGCAGCATGGCCAAGTGCAAATATTATACACTAAGAACAAAACTGAAAATGCAACATCTTCCACAGTGACCTATATAAGAGGATAGAACACATGCACATGTAAATTCAGAAGTTATTTGGCTTAGCTGGAAAGGAAGCAAGCTAGAAGATGGGTCTAGAATTCGACATAACTGTGAGAAGCTGGCAGTCTGGAAAAAATAAGAGCACTCCTCAATACAGGCAAGTATAAGATACTATACTAATGCTGAAATAATCAGTAATCAACTGCACAACCACTTGCCAAGGATGACATAAATTTCACTGATACTCCCTTGGGGCAGGAAATGGACTAGAAGATGTTCTTCCACGCCTGTGGTTCCGTGATCATGTTGAATCTCGTCTGAAGCCAGTTACCGTACCTCCATCCCCAAGCTGGGACTATCACTCATCTTCCCATCAGGCTGAATATCTCTCTCTGCCTGTTTAGAACTTTACTCATTAGAGGGGAGGAGAGGGAGAGGGAAGGGGGGGGAGTGTGGAAATCAAGAAAATGAGAAAGTTCAATTTCATTAATGTAGCAACTTAAAAGATAGACACTGCAACCCCATGTAAGGCACACAGCTGATAAATGCTACCTCATGCCTGGGACTCCACTCAAAGGGAAAACTGCTAGCCAGAGAAGGGGCTGCCAGTGACAAGGTATTGGAATAACTGCAATGATGTAAAAACACAGAAGTGAATCAATTCCTCTGTTGACGTAGGGTCCCCATCTCTTTCCTCCTTCCTAGCCTGCTCATGCTCCCAGTGGTGAGAATTAAAAAAAAAGCCTGACAGATTTTAATGAATGGGGAGGAGCATTTGCATATTTTGCAGGAGGACGAGCTTCCTCTAAAATGTAGAGATGGTGACAGTGCATGGGAATGGAGAACAATGGTCTGGCCCTGTGAACAGCTCAATTTATATATGCAATAAAGTGCATGACCTTCTAGCCATAATCACTATAAGAAAAATAAAATAACTGACTCTATGCAGCCTATGCTAATCACACAGCTCTTCCCATCTCCTAAAACTTCTCATTAAAATGATTTTTTTAAAGCCTGAAATAGTGAGTGACAATAAATAACAAGAATCCTACTTCCCATCCAAAGCCCCATTTTCAGGAGTAACAATAATCCCATTGTCAAATGACCCTAAGAGCTGGATTTATTTTATCTGTTCTATACAGCTCATTAGCCTAAACTCTGCATCTTATTACTGAGTTCCTGACTAGACTGTTTCACTATGAAATGAAGGTTGGGCCATTTATTGTCAGTGCTTGAACTGCAGAAGTCAGCCAGCAGAAAGCCAGAATTACATGTTTCAAGCTAATAAAATGTGTCAGCATTGCCCTGACCAAATTTCCATGCTTATCTGACCAGAGGATCCTGTAACTCATGTCTGCCCACTTAGTGTTGTACACACCTTCTTCCATCTCACTCTTCTCCTCTGAACACATCGATGTGGTTTCTTTCCTATAACAACATTCTTCCATATAGCTTCTACGCAGTAGGCTGATAGCAGCAGACATCACAAGAAGATGAGAGACTGTTTTTCGTTTAACAGCAGAAACACCAAAGGTGGCTTGCAAACAAGTCTGTGATGTTTTTGGTGTTTCTTTATGACGTGTAGAGGAATTTTGAAAGTCAAGTTTATTTCCTGCTATTTCACTTTTTTCTCCTTCAGGAAATGGGCTTTAAGGTAGTTTTACAAGTAAAAAAAAAGTATTGGCAATTCAAACTGCTAAGTTTGTGTTTCACATTCCCGGTAGCTCACTACAGAGCCCCCAACAAAAGGGCCTCTTAATGGCTCACAAATATTAGCAAAGTTATCCCCAGAAACCAAACTAGTAATTACATCAGCTTCACAGAAGAGCCACAAGTTCCCAACCTAGAAGAAAACAGACCAGAAATCTCTTCTGAGATCCAGGTCTCCAGCGGACAACTATAACGTAATTCTCTAAGGTGGGAAGCAATTGTATTTGAATATGTTTTGTGTAACTTCAAAATATTTCCAATGCCTGAACAAAAGAGTGGCAGAGTAAGTAGTCTGGTTAATAATAGAGCAGCTCTACACTTTAATTTGGGACCTGAGAAATCTCCCACTCTGCTTCTCTGGATGTCCGGGACACCCCACCTAAAGAGAGGATAAGCTAACACGCCTGATCTTTCTCAGATAAAACAGAAACAGATTTTTTTCTTTTAATGCAGTCATCAGATCTTCAACCCAAAATCAGAGGAAGTAAAACTAGGGTCATCCCTTTGACAGCTTAGTGTTAAAATGAACATTCAGAACAAATAAGCTGACAGAAAAAAAAAACCATGTTTAAAGTTAGAAAGGTTTAATTTCATTAAAATAGAGAAAAAGGCTCAAACACTGCTGCATCCTGTTTCAATGACAGAAGTCAGGTTCTTAAATGATTTCAATATTTCTACATCCATATCAAGTGTGGCAAAATGCATTTGACTTCTAGTGACACCTTCTACCAAATATGAAAGCTACCAACAAACCACACCGCAAACACTCAGTTTCTCTTTTTTTTTTTTTTAATTTATTGGAACTACTGACTGAGAAAGTTTTAAAGGGAAATTAAATATTTTTAGGTCCCTAAGCACACACAAAAAAGACACTATTATGTTTATACCACTGGAACCTGTGTTTGTTATATATTCACTTTAAATGAAGGTCTATTATCAGGCTGCTTTTACCCTAACAGACAATTAGTACTAAACACCAGGAACGGAGAACTTAAGGGGCAAAGCAGCTCCAGCTCCCAATTCAATTACACTAAGCTACCGGAATCGTGCAGCTAAGCAAGGAGTCAGCAATCAGAGCAATCATATTCAATCAGTGAGCACCAGGGTACAGCTGTCTATTCATCAGGGCACAGCGCAGCATCCTGGTGGGATGAGCAGAACACTGACTGAAACCAGAAAAAGCATCTCTTCACTCATCCCCTACTGCCACCCGTACTCCAGACTTGTCCTTTCCTACAGTCGTAAAGCGACCAGCTATACTGCATACTTACAGGCAGATCTGCATAGAAATAGTGTTTTCTGTCAAACAAGGACTTCTTGTTTATGCTGCAGTTGAGTGCCAGGCCTGTCATCACTGCTGCTTCTACACATCTCCTGTTGAGAACCTAAGGAAACATGACACATGGTTTTGCTCAGATACTCAGTACGTAACAAATGTGTCTCCCACACGCTGCCTTATATGGAGCATATATTCAATTTTGTTTGCCTTCAGCCACCATTATCTCTCTTTCCTTGTGTGGGTAGTTCTTATTCATCATTAAAGTCGTGGTAGCTACAAATCTGCAGAGCTTTAAGATGAAAAAACAAGCCATTCAGTCGTTTTGTCATGCCACATAAGGAGGCGTGCACTGTTCTGGCTTTCTACTTTTGCCAACAACCAGTACTCTTGCACCCTCCAAGATTCAAAAGACAAATCATAGCAAATGACAATTGACTTGTAACCAGCTGTCAACTCATACTGGGAACTGGAAACACAGGGGATTTGCACTAAGGACTGCAGTGCATTTCAGTAAAACACTTCAGAACATGTGTAACCACAGAACCACAGTGAATTCATGAGTATCTACACATAGATTACAATGCTTTGCTTAACCAGGATAAAATTAAGCACACTTATGTGCTTTGCTAAAACAGAACCAAAGAGACATCAATTGATCCCATGGCTACAAGTATAGATGCATTTCCAGTACCCAGGTAACCTGTGGGATTAAGGTTCTTGTAGAACGCCACATTATCTGAAGACCCAGCAAGGCCTTCATGAAGAGATAAAGGAGTTAAACGCAGTTTCTCACCATGGACCCATCACTGTCAGTGCTATACCCTTTTATCTCCTCAGCAGGGTCAGGATCCAGAGGAAAAAGAAAATTCCACTCCAAAAAGTACTAACGAGCATGTTTCAAAGTTATGTTTTTTTCAAATGTGCTCTCATTAATTTAACAGTTGGTTTAACTAACATCAAATGGATAAAACTGAAAAGAAAAAACAACTGAATTTGTCTTGGTACAACTCTGACATGCTCACACTTACAGTATTTTGCAAGAGGAACAGAACTTTATCCATCTTATTCTGCACTGTACAGCTGCCAAGAAGTCAATTTCCAGCAGGATCATTAAAGGGGCGCATTATGTAAAAGAATCTAGATGACTTCATCTGCATTGACCAGAACATAAAAGGCTTGACAGTATTTACTTTTTATTTTCTCCAGCCTGATTTCTGAAAACAGATTAAGCAGCTGTACATTTCCCATCATCCCATGTCTTCAGCTGGAAAAGGAATCTCTTTGCTTTACTCATCTAATATTTCAAAAATCAAAATAATAAGACAAAATATGAGAAACTCTTCACGTAACAGAAACTTAAAAATCGCTTATACAGACAAGAAATTAAATATTTAAGACATTTAACGAGGGAACTTTCAGATCTTTAGTGTAGCTATATATGGCTAACTAGAACACATCTGTTCGGGCATATTTTATTTATTAAAAAACTTAAAAGATACATAAAGCAAATTTTAAATGAGAAAAAGGGAAGAACAATTTTCCTTTGAAATACTGATCCACAGCAAAATGAACGCAATTAGTCCTGACTGTAATCTAAAGTAAAATTGGTAACTAGAAAATATTAATTTATTTTAGTATCATACCTGCAGTTCATTATATAGTAGATGCTCCTGTCTTCAACAATTGAATGCTTTCAGACAGTACAGATACTTTTTTTTACTGTTTAAGGAAGCTTGTAACAGTGCTAGTCCAATTGTTCAATGTTTAAAATATCATAATATTTCTAAATACACAGGCAAAATTTCCTCCTACTGAAGCCTTATGGCATGATCCCGTTCAGCTTTACAAATTAGGGAGGACAATGGCAGTCAGCCCTTTAACAACTGGTCACCAGAAACCATTAAGGCTCCGTAAGGACTGGGTAGACTCAAAACACCACTGCACCAAAGTAGTGAACTGGTGTCTTGCTGCATTTCCAGATGGTGCAGGGGTTGTGACTGATTGTAACTGGAGAACGAGATAAAACCTAACTCCCGAGTTGCAGTCAGTTAGAGCCTCATAGCACATTCTTCAAACACAAGTGGAGTTTAGCTCGTGATTATACCACAACTACTGCCTTTGACCACTTGCTCTTCAATTTTTGCTTCAAACAAGGCAGAGCGTATCTTACTCATTGCCCTAAGGGATAACACTGTTTTGAGGTTTCTTTTGGTGGCTCTGGGAAAAAACTGGCATAGAAATGCGAAGTATTGATTATTTGCTAAGTAGTATTTAGATGACTGTAATGTGTATGTGTCCCCAGCGTACTGGGTCATACTAGCCAAATCACTGGATATGCACCATTACTCATTCACTAGTGCCACTTCCTGTACTGCTTCTTTATTGATACCTCTGTGGTGACAAGAAGGCATTGCAAAGCAGATCTTTCCCACTATGGCATGCTGAGATGTCTACCACACCAGTCTGCTTCCTCTGCCCTGTTTGACTCGGAAAAAAAAAATCAGGTGACCCTCTACTTCCTCAAAAATCAAAACTTATCTATTTAATATTGCTCCGTTTCTGAAGCGACTACTGCTACCCAGGCCAGTGATCAAGGCTGTGTGCAGAACGCAGAGTTGTTTAAGCAAACTACTACTTTTCCTTCAAACAAACCTAGCTTTTCAAATACTGCACAGTGATAAACATCAATTCGGTATGTAAAACTTCCCATACTAATGACCTAGAATAAGTCCCCCAAGCTTGTTTATGCAGTAAGCTGTTATTAAGTTGACAGCTTTGACTAGCACCAAAGATTTAAATTACTGGCTTGAACTGACAAGCTGCCAGTCTGGTATGTTAGCAAAGTGCTGGCCTTGAAAGCAAGCTATGTAGTTCCTGCAATAACTATGGACAAAACAGAAGAGCCTATAAAGGCTTCTTAAATATTTCTGGTCTTCTAATATGGAAGCATCTCTCCTAGGTATTTATTTAAAGAAATTCCTAGAGAGCTATCACAAAAAGGAAATGCAAATTGTTTGTATTGGAAACTCATGAAAAACCTTAACAATGGCATCGCAACACCAGCACCATTTCCCTTGTAGCTACGCTATCCTGCTAGAGCACCATGGTAACTGAGCGCTAAAGGAATGAAAGAACAATCCAACCAAGATCTCTCTTTTTCTGATACTCGCCTATTCTTTACATCTACTTCACAAGTGGAAAGACTCCTTTTAAAAATTTATCATCTTTATTTGCAGGGTCAGTTTAGTCAAGACCTTGGTTTTAAATACAAGACTATTCAATAGCTATACAAAACTATACACAATACCTTCAACGGCATAAATTCCCACCAAAAGCAATTTTTTAACAGTTTTTTCTTTAACAGCAGGTTTAGTCCTTATATTAACACATTAAAGAAAGCTGGCCCCCTTTTAGGTGAAGACATATGTTTCTATATTTAGTAAATGATCATTTTTACATTTTAAAGAGAGTAGGTATGCAGCTTCTTGCTTTGCTAATGAGTATTATATAGGGTAGGTGAGGAAAAAAAAGAAGAAACATCTAGGTCTCTCTCCTGGAAGAAGTTTATTTTTGCTATCTTTAAAAAACAAACAAACAAACAAACAAAAGTAATCTTTGCCATAACAGTGGCACCCAGGAAGCCTAAGTTATTTAACAAAGTATTCCTTGTACTAAACACAGTAAAATCAAAGTAATTCCTTGGAAATTTTAAAAGTTTTTGATTCTAGGTCACACATTTTAATAAAGTAGATTTCATTCTCTTTTGCTATCTTAAGACCTTAATTCCTACTTATAATCATGAAGAAATCAGCATTAATCAGACAACTACAGGACTGTTTATCTAAAAAACATTTAATTTTACCTCCTTTTCATTCAAAATAACAGCTGGAAGGAGGAAGTAGTGCAATGTACTTAGCCAGCTCTCTGTAGACCAGGCAGTAATCTTTAGAAACCTCTACAGATATATCTAATCATATTTCCCAGTACTCCCATTTCATATCACTCTGATTGTTATTTGCTTCCACTAATGGATATATTCAGTCTTACTATTCTTGCTGCATTAAAACTACCAACTTGCTCCAATATATCGTTCTTTGAAGTGCTATCATAAGTTAAACTTCAAAATAAACTACTCTTGTATCTACTTAGTCCAACTGTAATTGCGACTGTTCAGTCTGACACTGCAGATGAGTACTTCAACGCAGCGTTCTTCCTTGGCATCCTCCCACACACACAGAAGGACGTAACTGTCTTGTAGCTATGCATGTACAGAATGTACATTACAATAAATGCAGAGCTAACCATTTCCCAAATGAGCCATTTATTTCAACAGGTCTACAATCAGACCCCATCCCTCTAAGCATACAGTAAAAATTTAAAAAACAAGCCAACCTAAGTCTTGTCATTTGTTTGGTCTGCAAAGAGCCTGCATGTTCCAAAACCTGAGGTCTCTAACTGCAGGGGAAATTTAAAAAGAAGGCCAGCTTCAGTTTAGGGTCTTCTGCATTTCAGTCCATATACTTCACAGCATATTTCCTGCTTTAATATGAGAATTTTGTTCTTATCCCTAAGGAAAGGGGCAAGAGAGTAGGGGAAGAAGCATCAAACATTTTAAAGTAAGATCTTAGATTAATAGAAAGAGATTCCAGCTTAAGAAAAGAGAACAAAATGGCAACTGAGAAGCTGAAGCAGCAAAGGAATGTCTGGGAGGGGCATTAAATATACCTTAATATATTTTGTAACTTTATCTTTCTGCAGTCTGGTACCGAAGATATATGCTGCTATACAAAACATATTATTATTCCTAACCTTGTCTGGTGGCAAAATCAGCTTACAGTGATGCAACACACACTCATTCAAGTCGTATCTTAAAACCAGGCAACTCTGACTTTTTAAAAAGTACCCAGCTCCCAAGTACATTACTTTATGTGTACTCAAAGAATAAGAGGGCACACTCTCTCAAAGCTGAAGAGCTAGTCTGAGAGCTCATATCACAAGGCTTAGAACTGGAGGAAGCATCTTCCAGCACTAGTGACGACCAGAAAAATCCAGCAGCAGTAGGGAGATATGCTGACCCCTGGGAGTAAGAAAAACAGAAAGATACAA